GAAAGTTATGAGTCATAAAGGGAAAAAAAGAGATGATACAAGAGGGAGTAAGTGATGCTTTTCTTCCATTCTATGATTTTAATTACCGCAAGTTTCTAATTGTATTTTGACGGAGAATAAACGGAAGAAAGAAGTATTAATTCAAAGTTATTGGTATGATATCTCTCTTTATACCATTTATTATAACTATATACCAAGGTATATTATCTTCCAACTCCTTATCCGATATAAATTAAGATAAAGAAATATAATTTTTTTTTTCTTTAAAAAAAAAAAGAACGACAACAATAATAATAATAAGTAAATAAATAAATAAATGAACAAATGACGATGACAAATAAAAATAAAAAATCCATATAATAACTAAAAAAAATAAATGATTAGACATGCTAATCGTAATTAACCAAAGTACATTCCATAACGGGTAACTAATATCTTTTATAACCGTTAGTTTTTCTGAATTTAAAATTTTAAAAAATACGATTAACGAATTTAAATTTTACAGTGCTTGATCTTATTTTACGTGGGACGTGTGACAAAATAGCTACTTTATTTTTAACTATTAATGGAAACTTGCCCAACAAGTTAGGTTAGGTCGTAGGGCACTGCCCTGGCTTTGACCTTTTGTCAAACGTGTGAAAGGGGCACGTAGGGAGGATAAAAAATAATATTATGGAAATTAATAAAATTACTTTATTTTATATAAAAAATATAAATTTAGAATAATATTGCATTTTAAAAGTACATTAAAATTGAAATAATAATAATATTAATAATAATAATAATACACATAGTTTTATTTTAAATTAACTTTTTAAAGTATAGTTTTTATTTTTATTTTTTAATTAGATTATCTCTCACTATTTTTTTATTTTTGACAAATATTTTCAAGCTATTATATTTTTCTTATAGTATAAAATAAAATACGAATTAAATTTATTTTGCAAACGTGACAAATAAATTTCAAAATGCTGACCCCAAAATGGAAAGTCCAAACAATCTGCTTCAAAAATTTCAGTTCCATATAAAAAGATACAGAGAATTTGGACTACTCCTTTACTTAGTTTTCTCTTAAATGATTAGATTAATATTACAAATTATTAAATCTATATAATTTTTTTAAAAAATATTAAATCAAGTTTTCGTCCGCGGTGACTAATTCGATTAAGAGAATTTTATTATATATTTAAAAATTATTAATTATGAATTAGTAGTCAGTTTGTATTTGCTTATTTTTATCATATTTAAGCAGACTACTTTCACCGGTAAAAATCATTTGAGTTCAGTTCGATTCTTCTGTTATTCCATTTCTAAATCTAACTATCACGAAATATTTTTACTCACTACAATCCGATCAATACACTAATGAGTTAAATTTTTTTAAGTATTATAGATTGTCCGTTGATAGTCAATAGTATCTTAATAAAATAACCAGATACATGTTCTTAGTATTATTAGTATTTAATTTATACTAATTAACTATAAATTTATAAGTCAATGAATCAACCCAAATTTATTAGTATTTTTTTTCACCCGTCGTGACTAATTCAATTAGGAAAATTTAACTGTTACGAAATATTTTTGACAATTACTATTCTACCAACACATCAATAAGTTAACTTTTTTATCTTACTAAATTAACTATTATAAACTGTCCGTTGACAATCAATAATACACTCGAAGAGTAGCGAAATATATGTTTTTTGGTAAATTTGAAATCGTGGCATTCAATTACTACCGTATTATTAGTGTTTAATTTGTATAAATTTAATAAGGAAGGTAAGTGCAAATTTTGACTTGGGTTTGGTAGGTCAAAGTCATTTCATAAATTAAATTAGGAAAGCTTTCTATTTTAGAAAATATATTATGGGAAACTTTCCACCGTCTAAATCTAACAAAGATTCCTTTTTTTTTTTTTTTGGGTTTGGAGAATTTCTTTTTCAATCTATGAAGTTTTTGATTGCTTTAATTACTTATTCTTTGTATATACTTTATGAGGATGCCAAATGGTCATATATATAAATATATATTATGAGTTTGTATTGAGTAGGTAGAACATATTCAAATGTAAAATTAGTTTTGATTCTAATTCAAACCTATACCATGTTATAAAAAATTATATATAAACTATATATAAGATTTTCAAAGTTTGGTTGTTACGAGATTAAATATGTTAATAGACATAATCAACTCACGTTCAACGTCTAATCTTTATGATTTTTATATTTCGTATAATACTTAATATCTTTTGAATTTATTTATTTATTTTTTATGTATCTACCATCGTATCTCATCTTAAATATATATTGTTTAACGTACGTTCAATTTAAATTTACAGTTATACAACGGTCAGGTCAATTTTAATGCACTGAAATTTAAATTTCTTTCACATTTTTGCCTCCTTTCTCTTTCTCTTTTAATTTTGCGATCAAATCGAAAAGGGTAACATAGTTTAGAGTTAAGAGATTTATACGATACTATTCTACAAATTAAAATCAATAATTAAACCCAAAAAAAATTAAAAATCATTTCCAAAAAATTAAAAATTACGACAAAGACTACAACTTTCTAAATGTTAAATCAATTGATTTAATATCACGTTGTTCTTATAGATTAAAGATTCGTCACGTTATCATTATTGATTTCTAGCATTAGATTGAAAAAAAAATATAGCTATGGGTCTTGATTAGGCTATGGATCACTACATTGTCAAGTCATTTTCCTTAAAGGGAACAGATTCAATGAAACTATATATATCTATATCTATATATATATATATATATATAGTTTTGAAGTTCTATGCTCTTCATTATTATAGGTCTCAAGAATGATGCTTGTCTTTTTCACTTCCTTTTTCTTTTTTTTTTTTCCAAATTTTCGGATTTCATGATTGAAGTTTAGGAGTTTAGATCATCTTATATTAGAAAGTACAATTCTATTATTTGGTGTCCAAATTTTTATTTTGATCCAATCCAATCATGCACACCTATATATATATATATATATATAAACAATTAAGTTCTATATTTAAGTAAATTTTATTATAAAATATTTTTTTTTATTTAAAAATATAATAAATTCGTTAAAATTTAGTACAATTTTATTATTGTAATTTTATAAATGTACTAATAAATTAAATTTTTAATTATATTAAACTAAAAAATTATGATTGATTATAAAAATTGGTATTGTAAATAGTTGATTATAAAGGTGATAATAATATTGCATGTTATGATTTTTTTTTTATTTAAAAAATAAATATTTTAGTTGTTCAAGAAAAAAAAAAAAAAAAAAAAAGATAAAAGAACTTGCCTTGTTGGTTCCCTCAGCGTTGAAACTTGGAGGTGGCGCCACCTCTCTCTCTCTCTCTCTCTCTCTCTACATTTCCAAAAATCTCACATGCTTTTGAACAGTTCACTTACAAATTTAATTTAGTCAATTTCACATGCCAACCATTGGATTTTTTTTCATTATTTCATAACTCCCACACACACATATATATATATATATATATATACATACACGTACAACAATATATATTACAATACCCAACATACAAAATCACACAATCTTTCTTGTACACATACCACATCTCAAAGAAATGAACAAACCACCAAACAAGTCTTCCACTTTCCCCACCATTCTTCTTCTTCTTCTTCTACTTGTACTACTTCTTCTTCTTCTTGGTTCTTCTCCATTGTTGCCTGCAACAGAAGCAGCCCGGCCAATGAAGGAGGCTCCGAGCTCGGAGAAGAGTCATGTCGAGGAGATTTTAAAAGGGTTATCTCTGAATGAAGTGAAGAAATCAGGGCCAAGTCCTGGTGTGGGACACGGGTACCAGAGCTTGGGGGAGATTAAGGACTCTGGTCCTAGCCCCGGGGAAGGGCACAAGACTGTTACTGGGAATAACCACTGACTCCATTTTTGAGTTCTTGGAAAACTTAGAGGATATTCTTTTGTTTGTCAATAGGGTTATTTGATTATGTTCTAGTTGATTTTGGGGATGCTGGAAACTCAGATTCTTGTATAGTACTTGTTGAGAAATACAAAATGCTTTAATTCAAAGCCTCTTTTATGTTTAAATTGTGAATGGTGTGTAATTCTTAAATTTTATATAAAATATAAAAATTTATATTATAGTTATTAAAAATAAAATTATTAAAAGTGTCGTTCAAACATAAATTATCTTTTACCATGTATATATATATATATATATATTTATATTAAAAAAATAAATTATTAAATTAATACTTATCTTTCATATTTTGTTCTAAACATTGAATTTACTTCTATTTTTTTAATTAAAAAAAAAGTTTAAAATAATTATGTTGTATTTAAACATTTTAAAAAACAACTCAAAAGGTGACTTTCACTAATTAGGTAAATTAATAATAATAATAAATACTTAATATTTGTTATTAATTTAATTAATTAAAATTAATTTTTGTTAGAAAATTGAAAGAAATTAGATGTTTGACACTAATGAAATAAATATTAAAAATTAAAAATTAGTATAATAATTTATCTAATTTAAAAATTAAATGAGAAAATACGTAATTTATTTATAATTTTAGAATATAGTTAAGTCTCTCTATATGAAAATTGGCATATAATTAATGCTTTTTTAAGTCAAAAAATTTACTCATTTTTTTTATAATATTAATTTTGTTAGAATTGTAATTCTAATTTAGAGGATTTAATTATTATAAAAT